CAATCTTCGAAGGGTGAATAAACGCCTTATAGTGAACCAATCCTGGAAGATTCTGCCAGAAGTCAATGAATCTTATTACCATCCAGCTGTTCAATCTTTGCTTGGCAAAGCCTAAAGCGGTGCCAATGGCAGGTTCTGATCCGATGAAGCTGCTTGTCGCACCCTCCCCTTTGCAAGTGATTCAGCAGCTTCATTGCCTTCCAGGCCAGTATGGCCAGGAATTCAGAACAAAGACAATCTGTTAAGTCTTCCTATCGAAGAGAGTCGTTCTTGGCAATTTGCTTCAAATTTAGACGTTGCTCGGTAGGAGCCAAGAGCTCCCAACGCATCTTGACTGTGAGAGAATATTTTTATTGACATTTCAAAGGTAGACTACTATGTACTCCTGTACATAAGCATGCCAGTTGGACCATAATCTTTAGGCCTTCTACTTATACTCCTACAACTGTATTTCTGTGTATCAAAAACCAAGAAACATACCTACTCTGTCTCACATTTCCAATAAACTGTCCTGAGTGGGAGCAGAAGAAGAAAACATTACCTTTACTGCTAATTTAAATTTAGTCACAGGTTATATGCATACGAGTGTGAAATCTGAAAGTATGCTTTTGGGCAATGAGCATGTAGTCACCATTAGTTTTCAGTTTGCCTTATCTGATCATTTGTTGGGTCAATACACCCTATACCCAATATTGGGCATATGTTTTATCCACCATCCCTCACCACTTAGTTCGAGTAACCCAAAATATAGTTCATTTTACATTCGTAACCTTTTTTCACACTAGAAGAAAGAGAGGTTACACTGTAAAAAAATGATTGAAGAGTTGATTCGTTTATATTAGATAGAAACAGTAGTGTTGTGTCATTACATTCAATATCAGGAATCCATCTCTCTAGTCGGATCCAACATTATTTACAGAGGAAGGTTAATAAATCAGCAGAATAAAATACCTCTCACTTACATTATTTTTCAAGTACATTTACGACGTATTCAAAGACCGCTATATGTGGGAATCCATTGAAGCGGTAATAGAAATATTGATCATGAATCAGCAATATATGTTGAGACTCGTGAATTTTAAGATTTTATTCAATAGGTCTTTATTTATTCTACTGATTGATTACTAAAACTTATTGAATCAGTGAACCATACACTTATAAAACATTAATATTCAATAACCAATAGGCCAGAACTCTTCACAGTCAGAATTTAAATTGAACTCATCCGTCAGTTTTCAAAACCAGAAACACTCTTTATTTTCATCTGATGTATTTATATTAATTGAACACTACAGCAAAATTATACTTGTAACAAAACGTATACAGTAATAAACGGTTGTAACGAATGATTACAAGGTGGCCCGTCGAAAATGTACCAGAAGGCATCACAAGGTGGGTAAATATACTTTTCGGCAAAAACTGGAAACATGAAAGAAATATGGAATAAAGTTAATAGGTTCAAAAACCGGAAACAAAGTAATATAAATTCAATATTCGAAGGAGGGTGGATAGAAGTTTTTCATAACAAAATTGCACCAGTCTGGGTGAATCCCTTGATAGGATTTGATGAAAGCCATATAAACAACGAAATACAGAAACCATTCACTCTCATGGAACTCAATATATCTCTTCGTCAACATAACAATACAGCTCCAGGAAAGGATAACATTNGTTTTTATTTTCTATGATTCTGCATGTCATTCTACCTACCATGATACATCATTGACCGAGAAATGAAAAAGACTGTAAGTTGAACCAAAACAAACATGGGCGTGCCATTTGAAAAACAAAAGTTAGGGGTGGTTTCTTGGGGGTTGTTTACCAGGGGGTGGATTTTGCTATGCTGCATGAAAGTGCTTGTGTTTTCCTATAATACATATTTTTGTTTTAATTTTTGTTCTGCAGGTAACTGAGATATCTGCTGGCCTAAAAGCTCTGGGACACCCGGTATAGTGGTACCTATACTCAAACCAAAAAATCCCGAGAATCAAGTCGACTCCTATAGACTAATCACTATTGCTTCATGCGTCATGAAAACATATGAAAGACTTATAAAAAACAGAATTGAAAGGTGGTTAGAATCGAACAAACTCATTCCGCATAATGAATTTGCTGGCTTCAGGAAAAAAAGATGTACTCAAGAAGCAGTTGCAAATCTGATAATAGACGCAAACTTAGCATTTACCAAAGGAAATTCCATATCAGTATTATTTTTGAATATACAAGGGGCAAACGATAATGTGAATATGGATATTTTAAAAGGCAAGATGGAACAAATGGATTTTCCTCACATTATTACAAAAAATATATTGAATCTCTATCTAGACAGATAAATATATATTAAAATTAATGAAAACATATTAGGACCTCGCTATACTTAAGTAGGATTACCATAAGGCAGTATTTTGAGCCCTTTACTATTCATCATCTACACTGCAGATATATACCATTCTCTGTCCATATCAACCAAGCTCATTCAATTTGCGGATGACTTCTGTTTCTACAGCGAAGGAAAAAATATAGAGCAATGTTTACAAGAACTCTACTTAAACATGAATATAGTTGGAGAATACATTGAAGATTTCGGAATGTAAGTTTCACATGAAAAATCAGCAGCGTGCTCCTTTTCCGAAAGCCGTTTTCAGCAAGATCCAACAGTATCAATAGGACCATACATTTTACCATACAAAAGTTCAGTAAGATATTTAGGAATTGTAATAGATAAGAAATTAAGTTGGAAAGAACCTATACAAACTATTACAGTAAGAGCTGAAAAAAGTTTGAACATTATAAAAGCATTTTGTAAAAATGAATGGGCGGCTGATCCGAATACTGCTTCAACATTTTATAAAACCATGATAAGGTCCATTTTGTATCACGGGAGTATTCTTTACGGTAATGCATCAAAAACTGATTTGAAAAAAGTTGAGAACATAAAAAATAGAAGCCTGAGATTATGCTTAGCCCTTGAATCGGAAGCAGTAGAACCACCATTACAACTGCGTAGACAACTACTCAGCCACAAATTCATCACTAAATTATACGCCAAGAAAAGTGATTTATTATTCAAATTACATGACTTGAGCATTTTGGTACTGACCAATAAATATTGGCGTAAGAAAGTTTTGCCACTTATATGCAATAGTTATACGAAGGCTTCTAGTTTTGCAGATATAATATATTCCAATGAAATACTTCCCTTATTCCAGGGCAAACCACAAGATTACAATTATTCCATAAGTACAAACTACCTCACTTCAAGGGAACTACCTCACTCAACAATTCAAAATATAAATATTACTGGAGTTTTTTCCCAACACCAAATCGTTATTTTTAACACCACGACTCGTGTTTCGATCACCNGAAAACAAATATTGAAAAATTAATGAACTAATGAGAGAAAAATAAAAAAAGAAAAGAAAAAGAAAAACAACTCATTAGTACTAACAAAATACTAACCTTTAGAAATAAATATGAATGTATTATAAATCTATAAATATCAAAATATTTTGGAAATTTCACATGTAAATTGGCAAATTGGTTATACCAACGCCATTTGAACTCATCACACACACACATACACACACACATGTCCAGTTTTTTTTCTAAAGGAGACAACTTTTCAAACAAAACTCATGGCAGAATCTTCATATCTCCAACGGAGGAGCCATCTCCTATATTTCAATGTACATGTACATGTATGCCTAATCTTAAAGAGCGATACACTCTCATATCATTGAAATACCAATGATATGAAAACTACAAAAATCGATTCGATTTAACTTCAATACTTACTTTATTAGTTAAATAAATGCTCACATCGTTGCCCGCAATGTACATACATGATACAGATTATCTTGATACCATTATCGTACATTCTGATCTTCCAATGTGTTAGGTTCACTGCTATGGACATTATCTTAAATCGAGTGCTGAGGGAACTACTCAACTGCACCCTCAAGTCCTTACCGGCGTCCTGGAAACGTGTTATTTGAATAACCGCGCACATTTTGTGTGTAATGTGGAGGAACTCGGTATACAATCTGTCCTGTTTTTTCATAAATTTTTTCCAGGAGTATCTAGCCAAACAACACATCGACAGCTATGTAACCATTTGAACGACCTGAATATGAAAACCATGTAATGGTGTGCTCAAGCCTTGGCGGCAGGAGGTACATTATCCAGTTGTTTTAAATGAAGTCTATGTTTTTGGGTGAGCGTCAACCCACTAATATCGTGAGGGCCTTCCTCACCGCCTCCTTTCGGCGAGGGCATGAAGGGGCGCATGTCTGAAGTAGAAGTCACTTTGCTACTCTACCCTTAAGGTAGAGGTACTCATGAAATGTAGACATGTAAAAATAGTTCATCTCAATAAAAATATGTTTGCTTTTGCTTTGGTAATGTTGGGAAATCAGTTCCCGTTCATTATATATAGGGTCTTTGTTCATGATAATTGTTTAATATGAGTCAATGGCTTTTGTGGTTAATTCAAGTACATATCTCATGTTGAATTGTCAAGAAGTAAAAATGGATGTTCAACACAATTTCCAAAAATCCACTCCATACATTCAACTTTTACAGGTGTATGTATGCAACCCAGTGAAAAATTGTCATTGAACTGAACGAATGTTATGAGCTCCAGTACTGCATCTCCGTAGGTTAATTTTTAGTACGGAATTTTCATGTTGCTTCTTTTTGTTATGTTTGGCTACGAATTCGAGAACTACTTTTTATTTTTGGAAATAGTTCAAAAATTTCAACTCTTTCAAGAATTGAGTAGTACACGATAGTTTTTCATAGTCATGAAAAAAATCCGTTTCACCATCATTGACACTTTAACATTATCCATTATGTATGGAATTGATTTCATTTGTTACTCTTAAAAGGAAGTGACAATCGAAATATTAGTCAGCGGTGTCAAGTAATAGTTTTTTTAGATGAAAAATGCATCTAAACATGCCGCCTTCATTGTAATAATGATGTTTTGAACTTTGTTTCAGGTAGCAACTTCATGGTAAATTATGAAGAAGGTCAAAAGCAAAAAAACTCAAACAAAGAATATAATCATTTAAATTGTGAGTTTTTGCCTATGATACCAATGCAGTAGTTTGAAATGATCGATTCGTTTAGGGAGGTATTGGTTATACAATTTTTCATATTATTGATAATACCAGAGGGAACCCCCCAATATGAATCTAGTCCCTGCCCAAAAGTTTTCAGTTATCGATATGACCAAGAAAGAGGTCTTTACGGGGTTGTTCGAATTGTCAACAACCACAACAGTCGATTACAGCTGAATATCGAAATGGTATTAGGAAATAGAGTTCAGGTAAGTTTATAATAATATTTTCCACTTCATACTCATTCGTACCTTTAATCATCTGATAAAAATGTTCTGTGTTTATCGTATAGTCTTATTTAACCCAATAATAAAATTTCAATAAACATTACACAATCTAAAATGAAAATAAGTCAAGCTCAGATAAGAATCTGAACTGTTAACTAAGAAAGTCAGACGTTCACCCTGAAAAATGTCTAGTTTTTTTGGCCGTAGACTGCATGTTTCATGCCTGACGTTTTGTCTACTACTGCAGTAGATATTATCAAAAGCGATGAGGTATCAGTCGAATTGCTCGTGTTGTTCTCAAAGTAGAATGCTGGAATTTGTCTCCGATATAATAATGGCTTGGTTTCTCTTAATTGTATTGAATGTGACAATTATGGTCAGGTAGCTAGATTTTATTAATGTTCATTGCCTTTTTCTTTCTATTAAAATTATCCCTGTATTTCTGCATTTTTATTGCCTCCCTATTCTTGGATAGTAATTTTGAGTTTAATCGAGTATTTTGAATCTTCGAATGGGATAATGTGAATGCCTTCTTTGAGAGCTTGTTCCGCTATATCTGATTTGTCGGTTTGTCCGAAGCGACATTTTCTCTCATGTTTCGAGAGACGGGTATAGTCGAAGTAACCGATATAGTCATCTTAAAGCTATCGACGAACTCAAAGGCCAAACAAACCAACACAAAGAACTAATGCCGCTAGGAATTAGTCCACGTGGACTGAAGCATTGGCGGTTCGAATTGGGTAATTTTTACTAACCGAGTTTTATGATTGGCTGAAGAGTCATAAAATTAAATTTGAAGTCATGTTACGGTGACGAATAGAATGCGAGCCGTCGTGCTGTCAATGTTCAGTTCAGGAACTGATCGTGATTTGAGTTTTGAAATTCGGTATTGGCGAAGTTGTAATCAATTAAAATTTTTGTTATTTGTTTGAAATGTGGCGTCCTTGGACAAGTAATGTTAAACATGTTTAACTTTCTTTCGTCAGTTATATGTTCAATTCAGTGTCTTCCACTCATTTTTACTGCCCTGAAGAAGCTTCTCATTAGAAGCGAAAGCTTGGCTAAGTAAAGCAGAGTTTTGATTTTTTGACTGAGAGACCCCGTTACCCGTTATTCCATTTTACTGTACATTTCTCCATCAGCGCGGTGCAGCCAAGTGTAAAGATGGGCAACACTTGTTTGCCGAAAGCAGGAAACAACACATACGCACGGAGTCAACAACAGAAGCCATATATGGCTTGTACCTACATTGACAGAAAATTTTAAAACTCGAAACTGACCTGTTCAGAAGTACGAAAATCGAAAGACAGATATATCAAAATATTGAAAAAATGAAGAGACTGAAAAAGTAGAATTTTTTTTTATGAATTTTGATAAGTGTTATGTCAAAATTGAAGTGAAAATGATACTTTAGGTGGCTCAGAATACAAAATATCAATTTATATTCTTGATGAACAATTATTCATTCCTATACGAGTATGGTTCACTTTATGGCTTTCCAACACTTAACTTACTGTGGGTTTTATTCCTGAAACCGTTAGCGGTTTACTTACAATTTTTTAAGGAAATTGACGGAATTGTTTGAGATCACTTTTTGTCTATGGATGTTTTAATATACATATACACTATATATTTGATGGCTAACTGATGCAATGAAACTTTCAACTCAATTTCAAAATGGTTTTCCTTGGTGTATCAAGTTTTTCTGAAGCAGCATACAAAAAGCAGGACAGTATCAACAACTATACATTAGGTGCTCCTTTAAAACTTCTTGGTATAACAATCGATGCATATACATGCATATAGAAAATTCACACACAAATCTATCAAGTATCGTATTTCTAATAAGAAGACTACGTTGTATTACCAGTCCTGATATTCTTGCTATGCTGTTCAATTGACTATATTATTAATTACATTCAGACCAAGTGTTTCATTTTTGTGTAAGGATCTCTGGCTTCCTGAAAAAACGTTAGCTGTAAGTGGCCGAAGCCTGGATATCGCTCGAAGACTATAACCATCAACGCTGGTGTTCTTCAAGGATTAATATTGTCTCCAAACCTCTTTTTATTGTATATCACCGACTTATTGGAAAAATAAAGTCCAATATATTGCTTTCTGACGACAGCACACTTGTCTCGTAATTCCATTCGGATTCCAGGACATCGGATGCAAATGCACATATCTTTAAAGACAGCAAGATATTGCACATCTTGATGAGGATCTAGAAGTGATTTCAAAGTGGGGCGAAAGTAACCAGGTTCAATCCATTACCACAAAAACCCAGGCATCGGTTTTCTCCAGAAAGATAAATGTCTCCGAACCGAATATAATAATGACAGGGCAGACAATTCCGCTTTCTGCTTCGATAAGTTTATTGGGGGGTTGAAACGGACACCATTATGTCTTGGCATAATCACATCTCTGAAATTGCACAGGCTACTTCTCAAAAGCTTGGAACACATCGTTTCGATGTCCAACACCTTGAACTTCACTGTTTAAGAACTCTTTCATTTGGAGAACTGCATTAATGCGGAATAAACTTCCTGAGAACTGTCAAGGTTGCAAGTGATGTTAGCGTCTCCAATCAGACGGATGGCTCTTTTCTGGAAGGGTATGCTCAGAGGCAGAGCTCCATACATGTGAATACTACTCCAAAGAGGGTCTAATCTGATCCTTATAAAGCATCAAAACTTGCTGAGGTGTGTACAGTTTTCTTGCTCGGAACAGTGTTTGAAGCTTTTGAGAAGCAACCTCCAACAAACTTATTGAAGCAGAAAGCGGAATTGTCTGTCCTGACATTATTATATCCGGTTCGGAGACACTTATCTTTTTGGAGAAAACCGATACCTGGGTTTTTGTGGCATTGAATTGAACCTAGTTACGAAGTCACCTATAGAGCCTCATTAAGATCCTCATTAAGTTGCACATCTTTCTGCCGGTGAAGATGTGCATCCGCAGCCGATGTCCTGGAATCCAAATGGAATGACTAGACAAGCCATGTATTGGATCCTTGGTTTTTTCCAATAAGTCGTTGAAATACAAAAAAAGAAGGTTGGAGACAATAAGGATCCCTGGGGAACACCAACGTTGATGGTGAAGGTATTCGAGAGATATCCATCGACGGCTATTTGCAGGGAATGTTTTTTCAGGAAGCTGGAGAGCCATACACAGAAATGATTCGACGGAACATAGCATTGAAGGTTGGCCAGCAAACCCCCATGCCACACACGGTCAAAGACCTTAGAAATATCAAGTGAAACAGCTCTTGATGACCGCTCAAGATGTTAAAGCCTTCCACATATTTGAGGAAATGGAGGATTACAGCTTTCTCCATGATTTTTGATATCACTGATAGCAAAGCAAAGGGTCTATAGTTATTTGAAAGATTTTTCTTGCCCGTTTTGGGAATAGACTGAAGGTGAGCAATCTTCCAATAAGAAGGAAAAACCCTTTTCTTTGTAAGACACTATGGAAAATTTGCAGAATGCTGGTGTGACTTCATTTGCTTTTAAGGAACGATGACGGGCACTTCATCAGGACCAGACGCCTTATTGATATTGAACTGTTTCAAAATGTGCTTGACTCGACGTTGTTGAAAACTAATTTCCGGCATTGTGGATTCTAGTGTGAGAATAGTGGGTGGTGCCTTTTATAAATAATAGACTGTAGAATGGGATACATCCTTGTTTTCAAACAGGTTCATCTTTATAAATTGTCCAATCTGATAAAAATATAAAATTTGGAGACAAACAGTGATCTACAATGAATTTCATCACAGATATCAAACAGGTTTCATTGTTTCATTGAAATCGGCGAAAATACTTTTTAGTCATTACTGAAAGAACAATATGTTCAGTAAAACTGTTATGCCCCATGACCCGGAAGGAAGCAAGTTTGGTCACACGATCATGCGAACATTTTTCATAGAATATGACAAGTAATCAACATCTGAAATTAATGACATCACATAGTTGAATACTATAATCACCCGTTTTCCTATCAACTTTTATACAATAGGAAAAATAACTGAATATGTCGATATATTTTTAATGAATCACATCACCATTGAGCAATACATCGGGTAATGGATGTCGCTCAACGTATTGCTTTCTCAAGATTTTTGACTAGGAACAATGTCATTGAACGTAAATGATCTCATTATTCAGTCAGTTTCAATGTTGCTTATTTCCAAATTATACAATTAATCTTGCAAACACATTTGTACACCATTACCGAAGTAATTATATAATTTTAGAGTTGAGCGATTGTCATATCACATTTGAGGTCATACGAATTGTTTCATTTGCATCATCGGTACAAAATACAATAGATGATATTGAATAGATGAGCACTTTGTGGTTTTGTATAATATATTCGAATTGCTTGGCCCATTAAGATGATTACGGATCGATTTTTTTACCTACGTTATATAACGAGCTGCATCCAAGCTAGCAGAAAATGACTTGAAAGAAGTATATTGCATTGTTATGATATATTACTAGAATAGTCCAACCATCTAATAATAGGTGAGCCCATGATGCTAAATGAGGATTTACTTCTATTGGGTTGCAGAGCTTGGATGATAAAAAGATAAAAATGTTATATAATGTATACTTTTTCATCGGCGGGCAGAGCAGCTATAGATTTTCAATGATGTAAAGGTATGTAAGTAAGGGTTGAAAATGAAAAAAAAAAAAATATCGAGCGTGTCAGATTTTCTAAGAGGATGTTATAAGAGAACCTGAAAAAAAGCTCTGATTCAATAATCTGACGATTTGGATGTGACGCAAATTCGTGGCCATTATTAGAATGTGAAAAAAAAATTTGCCATTTTGAAATACCCAAGAGCGCCAGATACAGATATATATGCTTCATTCTAACGTTCTAGACGTGCTTCCTCATAATCTGACGATTATCTGGAGGGATTCGCCTCATCTGATAATAGAATTTTTTGTGAGATTTTTCCAAATCAATCAATTTTATTAATTGGAAAGCTCAAGCTCCTTGAATTGTTTCCTTCGAAATGAAAAAATTAGTCACGCTCAAGAATGTCGAGATGACGTATTTTTTACAAGTTTGTAGACCTCCCTCTTCTTTACGTCACTCTTGAATTGTCAGATTAGTGGAATATACACTTTTCAGCAAGTAATTAACTCCTCTTTCCTTAATCTGATGTGCTTGGGAATTTCTGATGATCTTTTTTTTTACTAATCTGATCATTTATCCTTGACGGGCGGGAGGTACTGAACTAGATACAAGGGATCCAGCTGTATGTTAATCTGCCGCGCTTTTGTACATCTTGAAATCCCTACTGTTTTACTCGATGATACAGGTATTGGTGTTGAAGGAATGTATTGCCAATGTGATGGGGCCTCGCCTCATGAGTGAAAGATTGTTTACCTGAAAAGTTTCAAAATCATTCAACAGACAGAAGTGGATATCATAACTGGCCTGCAAATTGGCACATACGGTATTCGTTAGATTAGTCTTTAAAATGAGCAAATACGTTTTTATTGAAGATCATGGCCCACGAATTGAGAGAATAATAAAAATATCAATTATTTTATCATTACAAATTTCGAAACCTATTTATTTGAGAGAATACAATGGAAATAAAATTGTGTACGAAAATACATAAAACATGTGAAGTAACTTGACTTTTCCTGCTCTTTTCCAAGATGAATACAAAATTGCGAAATTATACGCTATTCCGTACTCTATTGTACTAAATATAAAACAATATGTTTCGTACACGAAAAAAAAAAGATTGGTTGAATGAAAGAAAATTCACTTCATTCAAAGAAATAAAAGTGTCATATACGACCGACAAAATATTTTGTTGATGCAAGAAAAAAGAATTCTTGACTCCCAACTATTTCTTCAAGCATAAGTAATATTTTGTCTAATTGATAGCGAGAATGATTTAGAGTAATTCGAATATTCTATTAAACAAACAAAATTTAAAGATGTGTGAAATAGTGAATCTGATTGAAATAATCAAATGTATTTTCTATTTGAGTAAAAGTTATGTTGAAGAAACATAACATATCTGCAGGATGATGGAGAACTTTGCTTGTTTTGATAATAGGAAAATTTCCACTTCATTTTGTCCCCGCGAAATTATCATCTAATCGATACAATACACACGTCGTTTGGAATGAATGATAGTTAATCAAAATGATGAAATAAATTAGACTAAATAAATTTCTTTGAAGTAACAAATTTTTTTTTTCGTGGAATAATTGATGAATTGAGAAAGATTGATAAATCACCCTGTATATCGGTTTAAAAAATCTGAGACCAATTAAATAAGTTATTTAGAACCGTCGGCGTGTCCCTTCTCCATCCGAAAGGTATTCGCATTTTCAAATGATATATCCTGTATGTAAGCTTCTCGTATCTGAATTCTCCATATTCATATTGTATAGTATAGAGGATCATTTGACATTTGTAAATCTAGGGCTACAATGGTCATATTGAGCTCTCCAAGAACAAAGAAGAAGTTATACAGGATATCGTCAACTACAGACCAATTATATACAAAGTATTTTTTCCTGCCTGGAGGAGAATACCCCCACAGATCACAAAAATAATCGTCAACGGCGATCTGATATGTAGCGGACCAAGAATTGGAAGTAAGTACTCGTTATTTTTCTGGAATAGTCATAGTGTACACGTTTTTTGGTTGAACTTTTCGATTTTTTCTGCGATTTAGATTTAGAGTAGTCGTAAGTGCACCTCGTCGATTTTTTAGACATATAACGATTTTTTATTATTTTTGAGTTTGATATGTGTTTATTACCTTTAACAAAATCAAGTTGGCATCATTCAGACGGATTTCCGCCAAACGGACTCACACGAGACTACTTTCGTATTAAAAAAAGAAACAAAAAACTTGTTTTGGTTTCGAAAACAAACTTAAAACTCGAATTTTACCAAACAGAAAAAAACTAGTCTGCGTTGCGTATTTTTTTTTGTAAACTGTTTCCATTACACGACTGTTAGCAACTGTTAGTTGCTTTTTTCGCTCATGTTCTAAAAACGAACCATAATACAACAAATCAATAATTTCATAACCACCACAGAAAACACTTTAAATATAGTGATAATGTCGCCGTCTGTTTCCACATAGCGGTTTCAGTTTACAAAAACACAGGCAAAACACCGAAACTTTCTGATCTTCCCGTCTGCCAACAGGACATTTCATTGTTGACAAAAACAGATGCCTGCGACACAATGTCTTCAAAATATTTCTTATTTTGACAACTCGATTTTTTTTTTGTTGAAATCGACACAGTTCCTATTTTGTTGTGGTTTTGTCCGTTTGGTGGAAATCCTTCATCAGGGAATGGTTTTATGCAGTTGAAAGAGAAGTGAATTGAAAAAATATCAAATGTCACTTTGATGATGAAAGTATGCAAAAACATATTTTCATATTTTTCAATACGTAAACAGATACCTAGTACCTACACTTTTAGAAACACATTATTTATAAATCACAAAAACGAACACATTATTCATAGATTACCATTCACAGAAAAAAAACTTTTATTTCTGCCTTTCGTTTTACGTTGTTTTCACTATAATCATAATTTGTTTATAAAAGGACTAAATGAATGAGGAATGAATGAAAAATAAATATAGTTTTAAAAAAAAACTAAAAAACACGCTTTTAAAGAACATCGAAATAAAAAGTTAAAAATATTTTTTTAAATAATCTTAAAACAATAACGAACGAAAAATACTAGTATTATTGTGAAAAAAGCGACGGGC